AGAATTCAGGTCCTTGTCCTCTGAAACAAAGCCAGCACTTTTTTCTACTTCTACTGTAACACTAAAGACATGTCACTGAAAGATATCTGCTCATCTCAGAGCTGTGAAGCTGGTACAGAGCACAGAAGACCCTCCTCACTGACCACCTAAGAATAAGGCCAAGTTGCAAATTTAGCACAGAGCCACGCCAGCATGCAATCATTCCTGGTGAATGTTAAAGTTGGGGATTTCGAGGGGCTTTGGTTTGATTGGAGGTTTTTAAAACCTTTCTCAAAACAGCTGGGGTGCGATGTAAAAAGTCATGTTCTTCTCTAGGTGACATCAGGTTGGAAAATTAGGCATTAGCATACACTAACAGAGATTCAGAGCATGATGCACCCAAGTGTCAGCCTAGTCAGCTGTGTCAGTAGCTAAGCAGCTGAAAGCTCTCTCTGCAAGGTGGCTGAACTACCATCTTTTCCATCACCAGATGACATAACTCTGGATTTGGCAACGTATCCAGTAGTAAATGTTGTAATGAGTACAAAAGGCGAAGTTTATAAACCACAGAACAGGAAACTTCATCTGTGCTCCTGTGGTGCAACCACTCCCACGCTGTCAAACTGCAGCATTTACACATCTGAGAGCGCACAGGAAGTTGTAGCTATAGAAGCTGTCACTAAGGACAGGTAGTTTTTACAAAACAGTACAATTCTCAACCACTTACAGGATTATTTTGTTTGTTTGTTTATAGTCTGACATACCTCCCCATAACAAACTATTTGACATGAAGATAACACATTACGTCCACATTAGTGAGATGAAGAAAGCACAAGGCCAAGGCAGAGTTCAACAGCATTAAGCAGAGCGCAGCAAATTAGGAACAACTTATAACAAAGTGCAAATACCTGCCACTTGAGAAATTAAAAAAACCACAGCTCCCATGCTGAAAGGAAGAGAGTCGTCTGATGTAAGCCAGTTCCACATTTGTTCTTTGTGGTTATGATGCCAAGCTGCCTTTCAAAAACCAAACTCTTGGATTTAGTGTGCTCAAGGGAAAGCACCTTCCCTCTGCACTTAGCAGAAGGTAATGTGGCAAAAGCCAAGGCACTTCGAAGCCTCCAGAACTTGACCAAGGTACCAGTATATTCACCAGATTTTTTAAAATGGCAGCAAAGGGACTTTTGTTAAGAGAGCCACCGATTTCAGGGTACAGCATCTACAAAGGAAGAGCTGCCAGCCACTGTGGTAATTGATACACACAACTAGCATCAGAGGTAAGCAAGTGGAACTTCCAGTCTCATCAATATTTCTCAGAAACACATCCTCCATTTGAACAGGACTTTTAAACTCATAATGAAATAACTTTTTTCCCCCCAATTCATTGAATTAGTTGTATGAGCTGTCTGAATACTTACCAGGCAACTTACTCTGCGGTCTCCTCCTCTAATATGTACTAAAATGTGCTTTGAAATCTGCTAAGCTGTGTTAACAGTTCTATTTTAGACTGCAAAGCTTTATTCCTCTGGCTCCTAGGTTCACACGCAACACAGGTGACAGTTTTTCTACCCTAACTTGCTCACTCTGCATTCTCTTGAATGAGTGTGAAACATGGAAGTTTACACTTCTTACACTTTATGATTTTAGAAAAAGGACTCAACCACACGTACGCAATAGCTTATTTCTCATAGTCCTTCCATGGTGACCATGAAGTCTCTTTGTAGCTGTCACATCCTGACAGCTTCCTGGCCGCTTACCTGTTGAGTACTGCTTCTTTGTCTGCCAGACGACTTTTAATTTTGCTAGTCAGATAGTCCAAGAAAAGTGTCCAGATGTCTAAGCAAGAAAAGTAACCTTCATGGGTAGGCTGAAATACACCAAAGTTCACAATGAATATTGCAAGTTATTGGCGAGATTGATCTCACACAATGAAAATACAAGTTAGCATGCACTTCAATCCACAGGAAGAACTTCTTGCCTTATTGAAGAATTTCTAGGAGGTCACTGGAGAAATTTATAGCCATCGAAAGATGAGCAAGAGCTTTTGCACAAGGGTGAGAACCCAGGAATTACAAGGCTGGTCTCAGCATTAACCCACCTCATGGCTTGCTGCATCAGCTCCTAGCATTTTATAGATCTGCTTCCTTGTCATTATTCACTTTTGGGGGTAAATAGGGCTGAGTTGCATTGTGACAGCTTCTACAGCAAGGCAACACGTACCAAAAGCAACAGATTTTTTTTTTTTTAAGTACTAAAAGTTACAAGGAAAGCCTCAGATACAGTAAAAGCAGCAGATTCAGGAGAAAGAAAAGCATCCCCAAACACAAAACAAGCAAGCTAGAGAGATTTTTCCAGACAACACTGTCCATCCCAAGGACTAGCAAAAAATAAAAGCAGAAGCAAAGTTAAACACCAGACAAGCTGTTCTTGCAAGGTCACTACACGTGACCCCTGGCTCCAACTAAATCCAAGAGAACTTTCAGCCCTTTCCAAGTCCCCAGCACTACTGGGGAAGTGCCAGTAAGACAAGTTAATTGCTTTTTTTTTTCTGGGCTAACTTTAGGTATTAACTTTGCTGGGGAAAACAAACTAGCCCTGCTGTACAAGACAACAGAACAGACAGAGGGAAAACAATGTCGCAGGGCTGTACCTGATGAAAAGTATATTTGAACAACAGTGCCAGAAATTCAACCACTGGGAACTGGGAGTAGGATTCAATTCTTCGTAGGTGGACGCTCACAAAGAGACGGAGAAAATCCGTAAACTTCTCAATGTAGCTACAAGGGAAAGGAGAAAACACAATTGAGAAAACAGGAAGGATGCCACAAGGGAAAGCAGTTTCAGTGAAATAGTGATAAAATTCACCCAAAAATCCTTTCATTAAGAAGAAAGTTACAATTAACAGCCAGTAGAACAATTGAAATATAAAGCCCTGCAACAATTACCTACAGGACGGGCAACCCTTCATTCCATTAATACCTGAAACAGCAGAAAAGACAGTCTAGTCAAAAGCAACTTTAATATTCAGATCAATATCATTGAGTTCAACCAGGCCTGCAAATAAGCACAATCCCTCCCACCCTAGAGAAGTAACTTAACAGCAAGGGTCATCTTACTGATGTAGATAAGATTAGTGAAATAAACTGTACCACCGAGGAATTCGGCTGGAAGCAAGAGGTTAATGCAGGAGTTAGCAATACACGTGTTAAATTAACACGGGGTGGTGGGAGAGCTGTGGAGTTGAGAGCTGGAAAGGATGGTTTCTTCTGCAGCGCAGATCAACTATCCAGAAGTTTCTGAACTGAGTCCAGGCTTTTGCGACTGAATTAAGACTATAAAGACAAATCCTCCTCCAAAGCATGGGACTACTCAGTGCTTGGGACTGTACAAAGCAAAGGTCCAAAAAGAAACCTGCTACCAAAATTTCAGGGAGTCCAGCAAGAGCACGAACTCGGTGCAAGCACCGAGGGTTCTTGAGTACGCAGCTAGGGAAAAATTACAAAGACCACAGTGGGGTAAAACTTGTATCGGGGAATAAGAACACGCCCTGCACAACACAGGCTTCGTCAAGGTTAGAAATCCTCTTCAGACACGCACGAACAGTCTGGTTTTATGGCACTGCCTTGCTCTTCCCTTCCGCAAACTTTTTTTGGAGGAGGAACCCCAGTCTTTAATGAAAACTCACTCAAGACCAGAAGCATTGTTTTTATAAGCCTACAAACCACACAATACTATGAATATGCAAAAAGACTAAATCCTTTTTATCTGGCACTGCCTGCTTGCAGGAGACCACTAAACATACCTGATCACAGATCAAACACTTCAGAAGTAAAGCTACCAGACCCAAACACCCCTTCATTCTTTTTTATTTTCTAAAGAGACTTTGATGTGAGACCCGTGAAATATTACTTGGCTCCTAGCTCTACCACCCCCAAAGCCCCTTCTGCCAACACTGAGCCATTGCTTGGATCCTTCCTAGCCATTTCCATATTTTGGCATCTTTACATTGAAGCCGAACACAAATAAAGCAAAAGACAGTTCAAGCTTACTCTTTTTCTGGACTAGTTTGGCAGTACCAACTGTTCAAGACCACACTGATTTTGTAACAGAACAAAAATAACCTGCACCACGAGAGGAAGGGAAGGAACGGACCCAAGAGCAAGCAGGTTCTGAAGACAGCAATCTACCGAAGTTAGTTTCTTCAGTGCCAATTTCGTTCAGATTTTGTTAGTCCAACCCAAGATGACACTTTCATGCGGAAAGTTTTTTAGTTACGGACATAAAAGTATAGCTATGCCCTTAGGTGACAACAGGAAAATCCTCGCATCCTTTTCCACGGAGAGGACAGAATCAGCTCCACTCCTCCAGAAGCCAGCTAGATCACGCCAGCCTCCAGAACATCTTAGTTACATCCCTATTTCCGAACTTAGCAATGAATAAAGAGGGGCCTTGCAGTTACAGACACCAAGAATCCCTGTGGATAACATGTGTAAGCGGCAGAACATAACGCTATGGCAATACCACCTCTGTGAAGGCCAACGCAGCTACAGACCTTCCACAGCCTTGCCAGTGAAGACCGCTTGCTGATGTTGGCCGTAAAAGACAGAACAAAGTTAAGCAAAGGATAGTGGGTTTCCAGGAGAGCTTTTCTGAAATCCAGAGTGTAACTGCTGTCTCTCTGTGCGCATATCTTGTATGCAAAGGTGGCAGATCTCTACACATCTTATGGAAGCGAGCGATACTGAAGCCAGAACAAGTTAGTGAAAAAACGAGCACGTACAATTCACTGCTAAACAGAAGTCATGATTAATCTAGATTTACCATCCCAAAGTTATACGTATATCTAAAGATATCGAAAAAGGGAATTTTATGGAAGAAACATGCAAATCATCTCTACAAACGGACCCACAGTTCTTTTTCCTAAATTTCTTTTTTTCTGTTGAGCGGATATAAAAACAAGAACAAAAAATCCCAAAAACTCAAAAGCCTTGCCGCTGCTTCTGGGAATAGAAATTTTACACACAGCAGCACCAGAAATCTTTTCTTCCACCATCACGTATCCGTAGCAAGATACTGAGCACATTCGCACAGTGGCAACTTATTTGCCAATGTTAGCACCAGTCTGCCAGCCTTCCCATGGCAGCAGGCCTGCAACCAAAGGCAGCATCAAGTCATCACCTCTTCCACCACCCTGCCAACACATGGATTCAACCACTCAACACAACAGCAAGACAAGTCTCACTTTCTCTCCTACAAGTAAGAATATCCGATATAAAAAGAGTTGTTTTAGGCAACAAGGATGGTAGGAACTTTCTGGACCAAAATGCTGCCACTTCTTTTAGTGATGTTTAAAAATACAAGAAGTAAAAATAAAAAAGCAATCAGAAATCGTCACATCTCAATGAAGGGTAGGAAACTACTTCTATTTTCTTTCAAGTCAGGACTCGCAGAATATCTACCCACTCTTTGTATGTTTGAGTTTAAGCAGAGAAGGCAGATACCGACCAGGAAAGGGAATACTGCAATGCCTTTACCTCACTGAGCCTCTTCTGTTTTCTGTTACAACTGAATGAAGGGCAGGTTCAGCTCTTGTGCCACCTCAGACCTGCAGTCAAACAGTAACGAACGGGGGGAAGGGGAGGAAGAGGACAGGAAAGAATACAAACCTGTGCCATCACGGTCCCTTAGCAAACTCAGCCCCTTACCAGAACCTTACCTGCAGGCACCTACCTTTCTGCTCGTCTCCCCCAGCACAGTACTCTGAAAAAAAGGCCATTAGACACACCATGCATGACCGCAAAATAATCAAAGACAGCCCTTTAGAAAGCAAGAGGCCCTAGCACAGCTACTTAGCTGTTTGATTGCTCTTACCTTTCATCCAGTTCCTCTAGCCGGCTCTTCACCGTATGGGCGTTGTTCTCCTTGGCAATCTTCTGCAGGAGGTAGAAAGTCTGCTGGAACATCCGTAGCAAATACTCTTCAAACTCCATAGGCACGCAGTTCTTGGACATCAGTTCGTTGATGCAAGACATAGCCAAGATGCCAAGTCGGCCACGCTCCTGTCCCAACACCGAGTTTTGGCTGCTGCCGTTGACAGAAGACATCTTCCGAACGCGGGTGTCGCAGCCAAAGCGAGCAAAGTGGAAAATGGTGGTGAGGAGTGATGGGGTGATACTAGTAGACAAAGGGATCCAGCTGAAGAGGTGTGCCAGGCACTCCAGTGCCAGGGAACATATATATTCACTTTCTGTGTCAAGGATGGGGATTGGCTGGTTCAATAATTTGGCTGCACTGGGACTCTGCAACAGGCTACTTAACAGGTCACCTAGGAAATAAAGCACACATCTTCATTATAAATCAGGGCAATTAGCTTCAAGTGGTGCAACTGCCAGCCCTGGCTACAAAGCAAAAGCCATCAGAGCCTGGGGCATCCAGCAAGTTGGCATACAAAGATTTGCCTGAGATGAACTAGCCATTTTTGCATTCAGGAATTTTCTGAAGGTTTGTTCAGATCTCACATCAGGTCAGATCAGCTGATCAAGCGAGCAAAAATTTAAGCAGCAGCTTCACACAGCCCTTCTAGCCTTCCTGGGAAGCACAAGCACATAGTGTTTTGGAAGATAGCAACGCCATGGGCTGTATTTTAGGAATTTCTTGTAAAACTCACTCCCCTCACAAGGCTGAGTACCCTTGACGTAGGCTTGCACAAGTTCTGGTACACTCATGTTACACTGAACCTTGTCAGGAGTTGCTTCTGCTTGCATATGATAGCTTGTGGACGATGTAAGAGCAGATGTTCCAAGTCAGACCAAAAAGCCTACTTAGTACCATACCTTTTCTCAGTGACCAGAAGCTGACAGCAGGCACAGATCACATTCCCCAGCCTCCAACTGCTCACATTACAAAGCTTTCCCAAGCCAGGCGGGGTTTGAAGAATTCTGCAGACCCTCAGGATTTATCTTCTATGACTCTACACCACATAAACTGACTATTTGTGACATCCTGTGGCAGAGTTCCACAGCTTAACCATACATTGTGTAAAGCTGGTTTTTCTTTGGGGCCTGTCAGCTGCTACTTTCATTTCCTACCTCCTGTACCCAAAGAGGGAAAAGAAAGAATCTCTTTCCATTCACCTTCTACATGTCACTCAGCAGGTTTCCATTGCAGCTCCTCACTCTCAATTTCTTTGAGAGAATGAAGAATACTACTTTCCTCGTTACACACATGGAAGCCATTCAAGACTCTCCATCACCTTTACTGCCCTTCTACAAAGCTTTCATTTCTAGTCTACACATAGGAAGATCAGGAACTGCAGCCACTATTCAAGGTGTAGATGAACATTAATTCCATACAGCACCATAGCAGATATCTATTTTTGACTGCTACCCATCTGAAATTTTTGTAGAATGAGCTGGTATAACACTCAGAAGTTAATCCTGCATACTGAAGGCAAGTTTGGAGCCCATGAATTGGCATGAGTATCGCTCTCCCTGCCCAAACACAGGTTATACTTATCTGTATTGTGTTTCATCTTCCATGGGCCCAGAAACGTGCAAGATCTTCCTGCAGCTCTTCAGTAGTACCTTCTTTCTCACCATTCGGACCATCTTGGTGCCGTTGGCAAGCCTCCTTGTTTCTTTACTCAGCCTTTTTCCCCAAGGTCTCTAGCAAGTACGTCCATGAGCACAGTCCCAAGCAGTACTCCACAGGTGACCTCCCCCCTCATGGTAAGAGGGGACCACTTCCACTTACCTTTAATCTCCTACCTTCTAACCAATTAATCAACAATCCAGAGACCCCCTTATCCCTGATGGCCTTTGCTTTCTCAAAAAGCTTTTAGTGAGAAGCCTTGTTGAAAGCTTTATGGAAATCCAAGCAGACACCACTGGCTGGGCTGCCCTTTCCCACAGATGCTGCCCACTAACTTGCAGACTTCCACAGACCACATGCTGAAAACCCATTCACCTTCCCCAGGTTATTCGATACACTTCTCTTCCTTGAGTACAAATAATCTCTTCACCTTTAGAAATCCACAGGCACTTGCTACATTACAGAACTTAAAAGTTCTCCTGGGAAAATGTAACTTTTTTCGGAAAGTGAAATGACCCAACACACTAGCAGTACAAAAATAACAGGTATGATTTACTGAGCTATTTCCAGAGTACTCAAAAGTACGCATGATGAACAGATTCCTCTTCAGTCTCCACTGTTCATCAAGATCAAGGTCTTACATCACTATATTTGTAACTCCCTGCCATACCTTATCATTGCCTCTTTCTCCTCTGCTCCAGAAAATTAAAGCATCAGGCTACTTCAGCTGAATTCGATAATCCTGCACTTAGTCTTATTATTAAAGAACCCCCATGGTAACAGTCACAACTACACATAAGCTGCAGTGCAAGAGCTGCTCGCATTGTGCTTTTACAGAAGCAGACATTCTTCTTTCAAATGTCCAGTCCAGCAAACTCCACAAAGAAAAAAAAAATGAGAATCATACATTCTCATCTTTTAATCCATCAACATCAGAAACTGTAAATTAGGTCCCTGTAAGGGATTTTTCAGTTCTATTTGGTGTCTTTGCAAACAGGGGATAAATTTACAGGATCAACTGCACTCACTCACAAGGAGAAAACTCTTAGTGAGGGGCTGGGATCAGGCTAGTTCTGCAGAAGCAGCAGCAAACATTCCTGTTACTCATTTGTTTATCAGAGCTGAATGAACATGCCTGAGGAAGGGATTCATCAAGTAAAGAGCTATAAATCATGCAAAGACAACATTTGGAGGCTTAAAGATTATTGCTGAGTGAATTCTATACTGGTGCAATAACTCAAATGTTTCCTAACATAGGACACTATCAGAGTTCTTTTGCTTAAGTGGTATGAGAAATGAGTTTAACATTGTCTCCAAGTGATATTTAAAAACTGTGCAAGACTTGCAAGTAATCATTTCACTCTGCTTCCCTGTGCAAAAAAAGCAGCATAGGTTTTCCAAGCTCCTAAAGAGGTTTTGGTTCTGACGGAAGATATTAAACATTTATAGGGACTCTTAAGCTTATTTTGCCTTTTGGAACACTTGTAATGACAGAGAAAGATCTTCATCGCAGGATTTAATGGCAAAGTTTCACTAAACCCACGTTCGTCCCATAGTTCACCTTCCAAAGATGCATTTGTCTCTCTCCAAAGACCAGTAGATGAGCAAAGCCACGACTGCCGCTCGCTGCTACTGACTTGTGCATCCAGCTTTAAGCCCCGTAGGTTCTCCGTGTTAGCAACCCCATCAATGCTCTTAACTCTACTCTGTGAATCTTTTGACTGATCGTATCACCAAATAGAGACCCAAGGGACATTTCATTAATAAAGAAAGAAAAAAAAGTGTCCTTCACAAAACACAGAAAGTGAACAGGAGGGAAGCACTCAGTGCTCTTCCTTTTGGACTTCAAGAACTTGAAACACAACCAGTTTGAACATGTAAAGTGTAGTTAAGGCAGAGCACAGAAAAAAAAAAACCCGGAAAGTTTCAAATAAACAAGTTTGCACAGGCAGGACCCAATGACATTAAGCCTGAACTTCTAAAGGAACCATCAGTGTAGTCATAATTGCTAACAATTATCTTGAAAATACGCTGTGCAAGAAGTTTGTTTGTTTGTTTTGCCTGAAAGGGGAGAAAGGAAAGACCCAGAACAGACATGCATCATACTTCCACTTTGAGAAACATGATCTAAAGTCACAAGGTGACTACACAGGTGGATGAAAAGCTGTCTCAGCAGAAGCAACAGCAATTCACCGAGGAACTGAGAGGACATCTCAGACAGGCTTCCACCGACCGTCAGCCCAGAATTTGTTCCACTGGTTATTTTTTTGCTGCAACTCTGGACAACAAAACAGAGATTTTTCTAGCTTAAGTTACTAGCACCTCAGAACAAAGCAGTGTTAGTTTTCTCCCAAGATAATTCTGGAACTTGCTGTTCACGGTGCAGTACCCCCTCCTGCGGGCATGGCCTTGGATGTGCCTGCGTTAACCAGCATCTGCTAGCACGCACCTGGGCTCGCCGAGCAATTCAAGCTGTTTTGTACAGATACAGCATCATTCTTGGCCACCGAGGCGCTTGCTACCAATAGTTGATACTAACGTATCTTTTTACTGTGGAAGACCCCAATCTTACTCAACGTCACGTCAAAGTGCTAAGGCTCTTGCTGCCAGGGTGGGAGAAACTGCTGCTCCTGCCCTCTCCAAGCCCCATGTTCACTCTTGCCAAGTGATACTATAAGTTTTATTCTTTTCTGTTAATTCCCCCCCCCTAAACTTTTGCTAGCTACAGCAAAACCCACCCCCGCCCAAACCCAAGGAAATATTTCTTCCCATTTAGTCTTATGTTTTGTATATAAATATAAAAGTGTCTTAAGCTCTTCTACAGGAAAGAAGCACTTGAAAATCTGCTCAAACCTAAACGTGGAAGTTTTAACACTAACCAAAATATTAACAAAACATTATCACAGGCAGCTGTCTTAAGCTGACTAGTGCAATCTGGCCACAAGGAAGTGATCTGCAACTCCCAATTAACTGTTTAAGGTCCCAAAGACAAGCGAGACAACTGTGTTAACTCACAGAACACACTGCGCCGAGCACAACTTGGTATCACTACGACCCTGGAGAAAGAAATAACTGACCCACAAGTGTTTCATCTTCTCTCTATGCACAGCCGGGTTATTACAGGTTGCCAGACCCTAAATCCTTCTTTTTCCTTGTTAAAAGCAGAGAAAGCCAAGATCAGGCAATGTATTGATTTCACTGCATCATGGTGTCGCTTCTTGCTTTGTTTCCCAAGAAGCAGGAACAAAGACACCACAATCTGCTGGACAATGCTTGGGTGAGCTGAATGTAACAATGAACCATGTTACATCAAGGCACAAGCGAAACTGGTAGCCGTCAAGGTCAGCGTTATGCCTGGGGTGACCCTATACGTCTATCCCCTATTGAGCCTTAACAGGGTGATATGTGCGCCAAGTACAAGGACATAGAAATATATTCTCTATTTTTGAGGGTAGCTAAGAAATATATATGTAAATAAGTTTAGATCAGATATACACCCACACAAAAGACTAACAGAAAATAAGCAGAAAACAAACTTTCACAATATATATATACACAAAGCCCTAGCCACGTTTTTTTTTGGCTAGAGCTTCAGTTTTGCTCCAAGTTTGGCTTTTGACGTTCTTACAGCCAAAATTCATAGACGACAATGCCAACTCACTGACGTTACAGCATTTTGCACTGACACTTCAGAAAGCTTTTTGCCACCTGAGGACAAGAAGCTACACGTGCACTTTTCAATGAGGTGGCATTTTCAGTGGGGCATCCCCTGCTGTGGAAATAGCTTCTTCATGTAAGGTTTGACTTTCTGACCAGAAATTTGTTGGCCTATGAAAAGCTTTACGAAAGGCTTATTACAAGAGGTTAGACAGTAAAGGAAGGAATCTATGCCTGATATTGCAAGTTTAAGCACATGGAAATATCATCTTGTAGCTTTGGCCATCCTTACCACTTTCTCCTGAAGTTGGGGATGGTGGTGGAGTGGCAGCAGTAACGCTGTGTTTGTCCCAGATGCTCTCCAAAATACCTGGCCAAAGAGATATTTTTCAGAACAGCCTGCTAAAAGACAGATTGATCCAACAAACGCACTGGAGACTGCAAAAGAACTTCAGTAGAATACATCTTTAGTGCTTTGACAAGGAACGTTGTCTTCTCTTAGTGAGCCCAAAGAAATTACCAAGTGCTTAGACACACCATCTCAATCCCTCTTCGTAAAGAGGGGGACATATGTGGCTATACAGCTGCTCTGCTACACAAGCTGGTTTCATAGTAAGCTGACCCAAATGCCCAAGGGTTGAGTGTTCAAACTGCAGGAGCAGCCTCTACATCATCCACACGTTGCTTCACTGAATCCAGAACATGCAAGCTCACTAGCATCTTCGGGATGGTAAAGGATGACATTTATTTCAACGCTGGAAGTGCATTTACTCATACCTGTGAGGAGCCCAAGCACTGTTTGCACCTGGTCTAGGAGCAGCTTGCGTAGCTCTTCTTTCCGGGCTACGCTAAGATCTTCCCGCGGACATGCCAGTTCTTCTGAAGTAGTTTTCAACATGATCAGTCCCAGAGGAGTGGTCACAGGAGACTGAATTAACTGAGAGGAAAACACATGAATGCAACATGTGATGGTAACATTCTGCAAAGCTATCAGCTGACAAGCAGGGGGTTAGTAACACTATCAGTTTACAAGTGCTTCAAGACTGAGCGAGTACCAGTTCCCACAGTTTGCAGCACTGCATGTTGAGGGAAGAGAACTGCAAATACTGGATTTTCTGAGATACTGATCTACAGTGTTGCAACAGTTCAAGTGCCATGGAAATCCTTGGGGTTTCAAGAGAGCTTTCATAATGTCATTGTACACGTTCTCTCTTCCAGCATGTTTACGAGCAACGGTTTGTTCCTTCTGTTTACTGCCTTCTGCTGACATCACCACTTCTCAGAATTGCCTCAGCATCAGTGGTTTCACCACGTAACAGGGCTGCCACTGCAGCCACGCTCAGGTCAGCCCGAGCCCATCAGTCCTGATGGAACCGTACCATCAGTCGAGCAGTTTCCCTTTAAAAAGCCCATCCCTACCCATACAAAGAGCTGCAGCCAATATTGGCTGACAGAGGAACACCACTAAGGGACAGAAACTCTCCTTGCATCTGTATCGCACCTCAAACTGGAAATCACATTTACCCTAAGAGTGACTCCCACCACAGACAGAACGCGCAGGAACAGGACCGGGGGAAGCAATGATTTTTGCCTTCATTAGCCACTGGGATATTAAAGACACATTCAAGTGGGACAAAGTTTTATTTTCAGCTGAAATTCAATGCTGCTCTTCTCTGTTGACCTGGAACATCCAACACAATTCATGTGCTACTCCCTATGGGAGAAAAAGCCTCAAGCCAATCACACTTACTACAAGTAAGCTTTGAAGTCACAAATTCTGTAACACAGGCTGACCTCGGTTCTAATCTCCTTGACCCACCAAACCAGAGACATGCCGAGTTAACGCTGCTAAGGCTACACAGTTTGGTGAAATACACGGGGGGAAAAGCCCATCTAAAAGCTCTTAGTCTAGATGTATGTTGGCTTTCAGAAAGGAAGCACAATGGCACGGGAGCAGAGCGCTAAAAAAGAAAATTAAATTAAATACACAACTTGTTAGTAAGTTGCAAAGAGACTTAACATCTTCTCTCAGAGTATTTGCTGACAATACCAGCAATACCGTGCACTGGCACTTCAGTAACATTAAACAAATTTCATACCTCTAAAGAAGTAGCACTTTATGTAAAATTATTGGTTTTGCCTAACACCACCACAACAGTCCAAGTTAGTTCTCTTCTCCAGCCATCCAATGGCTCAGCAAAGGTTTTCGAGACTACTGGGATACAAGTTAATGCTAAAGAATCAAACAGTTGCTTCAAATTGTCTCAGAAGAAAGTCTTGAGAGAGGACTCATCGGCAACTCTAAAAGCAAGTTATTCTGCTCCTGTGCTGCTACTCTTTATTTTGACGTCTTGAAGTTCAGTATTAGTGTTTTTCTTCCACTTTCTCTGATCATTTTTGGAGGTGTCTGCTATAAAAATTAATTTATGGGTACATTTCCCTCTGAAGCAGAGTTCATAAGGAGAGGCCTAAAATACCCAAAGTGGGCTCTGCAATCACTTAAGATAACCCCCAAAGTGCTAGAAAAGCAAGTAGAAGGTCAGGAATCCAGTTGCAGATGCAGGTGAAATGAAAGCGAAACTGTAAGTGTAGACAGCTGTCTCAGAGTACTTATTGTCAAACTGACAATCCAGGAAAAAAAACGCAGCATGTTGCACTACATGATTACTGAAAACTATCTGAAAAGAGATTACACCAGTTAGTAACACGCTCTGTATGCCACGGAAGCATTTTTTAAATTTTGCAATTAAAACTAGATCTATTTGTCTTAACTCCTCACACTCCTGGACTTTGATTTTCTTTTTTTTTTGGGGGTCAATAAGTACCTTGTGGCTTGTCTGGGGGCAGAGCTGCACAAAAATCATGTAATTATGTCAGCAGAAAAAGACTGTGCAGCACTTCAGTTTACACTCAGTTTCTCCAAGCCAATTATGAACAATTTTAAGAGACCTGGAAACAAAGTACTCAAACCAAAAGAGGAGGTTTGCACTAGCCTAGTTAGGTTCCAGCAGCAGTGAGCTGTTAGCCTGGCTCAGGCTTCACTGTGGAGATACCGAATTACAACCAACATTCAAACTAATGGCACCGTCTCACCCAGGATCCTCAAATCCTTACTCTAGTCTTACTGCAAGAGCCCTCTTAAACACGCCACCAACGTTCCATTAGTGACTTTACACGATGAGGTACCAAAGATTTTAGGCTATCTGTGGCTATTAGGTGAAAAAAATCTTCAACAGCCACATTCAGAAACTTCTGAAAATCATCCAGCGATGCATCCATAGTGGTAGGGACTTTTTTCTTTAAAGAACAACCCACAATCCCTACATTTTCAACAACTACGCCTAAATATTTAAAATTCAAAGTGCAGTTGATACTTGTTGCATAGTATTGTTCCTTTGTCAAAAAAACCTTTTATCAGTAGAAAGAAATGTAACATGTAGGAAGCTAAGGGTCATTCGCAAAATTAAAAAGGAAATTAAGAAGCAGCTTTGTTTTCCATGTAATTACTTAACCTTCATCAAGGGAAGTCACTACTCAAGGAAACAAAATAATGCCTCCCTGTGAATGAAACCAAGTTTTCTTTTTAGAAACTTCTTACCTGCAAGATGTTAGTGAAAAAGTCATGGTAGAACATGGGCCAGTCTTGTCGGCCAATATCCACAATGACTTTGCAGAGTTTGTTCCTGATGAAGTAAGGCAGAGTTTTATGGTGAGCTAGAAGGAGCTTGGGCAGGCAGCTGCGGATCTCCATTTTGTCTTGCGATGGGACCCCGAGCCACATCTTATTGATTAGGTTCTGGAAAAGAAACAGACCTCCCAAATGAGCTGAACTGGGACATGCTTCACGGAAGTTACACAGCGCGACAACACGGACACATAACGCAGGGACAGAGCATCAGGCAGAGCGGCTGCTTATGCCCCAGGGCTGCCGGTGCTTGCCGCGATGCACAGCCAGGGAAGAGCCTACAGCCTTCAAATCTATCCAGGCCCCTCACCGCCCAAGACTGACTGCCTTTTGAGCACCTATATTTGATGTAGTTCAACCTTCTCTGCTGCCGTGGGCAGACCTGTAGAAACAAGCAGGTATTAGCAGGTTAAACAGAAGATGTTTCTCTTTTGTTAGAGTTCTGACACGGGCTCGCTGGGCAAAGAGCTGAAATTTGAGATGCTCTAACTGCTCAGCAGTCCGGTACCAACCCTGACATCTTTAACAACATGCAGAGGTGCAAACTAACTAGGCAGAACAGGAGCAGCTTAGAGGGCAAGCCCTGCACCACTAACTTGGAATAAGCTTTGCTACCTAATGGGGAACCTGGGCAACCGAAGACAGCGATGGCTCAAGCTACCCAACAAAACTCACTGACCATGCCTCTTAGAAGCCACACAGTGTATAAAGACAAGCACTAACAAAAACCCCCAAAAACCCACCTCCACCACAAGCGTATCAGATGTGTAGCAGCCCTCCAACACCAGTGTTGCACATAAGGTGGGTTTCGATGCCCCAGAAACTGCTACCAATATCTCTTTGAGTACACCATCTATCTCTATTAACTGACAAGTGACAGCAACTAGCATGTTACCTTTTTAACTGGTTTTGCATCAAGCAGAACTAGTTGGCACGCATATAAAAAAGTATTTCCACTATCTTTTAACCCTGGACACCTAGATTTTCCCCTTTAGAGGGGGAAGCATAGCCTTGTATGAAGCAGAAAAAAAAAAAAAAGAGAGGGGAAGCAAGTTCAGTTTTAGATGACTGATGCCACCCGGGTCTCCTGAAGCTAAGCTGGAAGGCCGCCGTCAGAGTGACTGCCTTGCAGTGACAGGGCACCACTTTAACAGAAAGCTTTTAGTCCACTTAAAGCCAGACAAAATCTGTAAGAAGGCAGAGTTGCAAATTGCTTTCCTGCCACGCTACGATCCCATTTAGGGGCTCTGGAGCATTAGGAGCTGAGCCTCTAAGGATAACTTACTGAGGAGGCTTGCTGCTGAGGCACTATCTGTACCCACCTGCAGGCATATAGCTTGGAGAACCCAAAAGCAGGAGATACTGCAAAGGGTTTGTGGCAGAAAATGGAAGATTATTTATGGTCAAAGCAGATCCAATTCACAGTACGGACGTACGGTACAGAGGTACCGGTTCACAGTGTGGAGGTACAGAGGTATGTTTATACATTAAGTTCCTCAGAGAGGTTGTTTTTTGGGTTTTCTCGCGGAGACGATCCAGAAGTATTGCTTAAACACAACGATGACCCAACCAAATGAGACTTCCTCGATGCAAGTCCAGAATAAGAATTTCAGAACCCTCAATAAAACTGCAAGAAGCTTTAGCTTTAAAATACTCATGCTTTAACACTCACTGAGTTTTGTCCTACTCATTTGACCAGAAAGTGGCAGTTTTCTCCACCTGTGAAATATTTTGGGGAAAGACGTTCTCCTTCCCAAAAGCAGGAAGTGAAAACGGTTCATCTGGAAAAAAGGAGCATGAAGATTTTTATTCCGGATCCATTATTAACTTCCTAGGCATTCTAGAAAATGCAACATTCTCAGGAAGTTTTGGGAAGGATCCTTGTGTTTATATACATGCTTTTACTGACATTCATCACTCCCAGACAGCTGAAGGCTGAGGAAGTTGCAGCCTACGACAGACTACGGCTATGAGGACCAGTCAAATGCGCAGCACGACAGTAGTTAAGTTTGGAGGCTCAAGCTCCTCAATGGAGAGATCCTGATCTCTCAGCTGAGCTGTGGACTCATGTCCCTGACTTTACACTTGGACAGTGATTTCTTTGTTCTGCTTAGTTCTGTGCACAATTATTTTTTCAGCACTGCTTCCCCCCCGCCCTCCATGAGAAGCAGAGGCTCAGCAATCAAACATGTTTTCAACTTCATAAAAATTGGTTTAATTATTGCAGGCTGCGGCTGTGTGACACCCATCCCCAGAGCAGGGAACAACTCCCATGCCATTTGTCATGATTACCCCTTTTTGAGAGGAAGGCAAACCAGATTCAGTCTGCAGATCAAGTCCAAATTCCCTATGCAATCTCAGATAAATATAGTGAACATTTTAAGTGAAGAAGTCATGATGATTTGTCAAAACAACGTAACTTTTAAGAACAGAGTTGTTTGCTCTATCTAAAAAGTGGCACACTGCAAAGGATATAAATCCCCCTGATTTAGGGGCACAGCTCAGGCTGCCAACCCAGCCAAGGACATAACGCACAGGCCACAAAATGGACCAGGGTGAGGTGTAACATTGACCAAAC